TTTCCAGTTTTGGTCATTTAGATATTGAGATAATAGAGACATTTTATAACTCAATTCTGTTACAAATTTGTTTTTGATCTTTTCTTGTGTTGTTACATTCTTTTTCATTTATTTTAATTTTATCTATTAGATTTCTTTCTTTTAATTTTTTCAATTTGTTGGCTAGCCAATTCCTGGTTTTATTGGCATACCAGGAAGTCTTTTTGTTTTGTTATTTTTAATTTCTTCTCTATCTGTTTTGTTAGTTCCTTTTCTGCTTGTTGTTGTATCAATTTTAGTTGGTTCTTTAATAATTTGGATGTTGGAATTTTCCTTCTTTCTGCTTCCTTTTGCTTAATCTCTTTCTATTTTTTTCCCATAGCTTTCTGTTTCTCTATCTTGATTTGATGACCTCTTTGTATTAGTAGGCCTCTTACATAAGCTTTTCCAGCATCCCATACTGTTTTCTTTTTACTTTGTTCATTAAGTTAACCCAAAATAATTGCCTAATTTGTTCTTTTAACGATTTTATATATTCTTCATCTGATAGTAATTCTTTGTTTAATCTCCAATTAAATTGTGGCTTTTGCACTGTCAAACAGATGGAATTACGATCAGAATCTATTTTGACCATTATTTCCATTTTCTTTATTTTTGGTATGAGTGTGTTGGTGAGTAGAAACATACTGGCTTAAGTAAAATGTAAAACCTTCTCTGTTTCCATATAAAGTTGTCCAAACATCCTGAAGAGCCAATTTTTCTGTTAAAGTGAAGAAAGATGTTGGTAACTTTCCTTGATGTTTATTTACTTTCTTTTTGATGTTCTACCTCTTGTTGAGTCTATGACCCCTTTGCAGCCTTCTAGAATTAATATGTTCTTATTTTCTTGCTTTTCTATGTCTTTTTGTAGATTTTTGAAAAAACTGTTTTTGTTGTCTATTGGTGTATAAATCCTGGCCACTACCATTCACAGGCTTCCTACAATGACTTCTACTCCTACTCCTACGTTATAGTAATTGATATCTTTAAAAATCTCTTGCTGAATATTGTCAGTGAACATATAGCACTATTCCTCCTTTCTTTTCTTTTTTTCATTATTTGATTGAAATTCTTAACTTTTATTTTTAAAATATCTGGTTTCATTTTTCTTTATTTTTGTCTCTTGTTGACAATGTATTTCAAATTTTTCTTCTTTAGGTAGTGGAAGACCTTGTTTCTCTTATGAGCTGCATTTATTCCTTTCATATTCATAAACCGATTTTCAGTGTCATGGTTGTGGTTGTCTAAAGTCAGATTGTCCTATTTCCAGGTCTTATTCTGAGTTTATTTCTCCTAGTTCTTCCTCTTCCTCTGTTTCAAATCTGACTTCTTCTTCTTCTTCCACAGTTGGTGTGTCTTCTTTCTTTTTGTCATTTTCTTTCCAAGACGTCTTCTCATATTTCTGTTTCATAAAATTTTGTTCTATGTCTCTCTTTTCTTTCCTTTTCTTCCATTTTCTTCGGTACTTAGTTCTTTCTACTTCTGGCTCCTTTAGTTCTTCTCCTTCAGATGGATTCTCTCTATGTAATCTTTTACATAATTCATCTGCTTTTTCCTTTGTGTTTATATGATATCTCCTTTGCTGATAGGTAAAAGTAACCCCTTCCAGTCTGTCCCATGCATAATTTATTCTTTGTTTGGTTAGAGTCTGGGTCGCTGTTTTGTATGTTTGTCTTCTTTTCAATATTACTGTAGGAATGTCTTTATATATAATAATAGTAATTCTGTCTGGCAAAAACTTCTCCTTATAATTCTTTTCTAAAATCTGATCTCTTATTTTAGATCTTATAAAACATATCATTACATCTCTAGGGAGATTTTTTTTCCTTTGCAACTTGTGAGTTTATTCTAAATAGTCGGTCTATTTCATATTCTAGTTCGAATTCTGATGTTTCCAAATAATTTGCTAGATGTGAAAGAATCCTTTCTTGTAAGCTCTCATTAGAAGACTCTGGAATTCTGTGTAATTTCAAACATTTTCCCTATATCTTAATTCCTGAATCAAATTATTGTTTTCTTCAGCCTTTTGTTTATTACTGATAAAGTTCTTATTTCCAATTCTTGAGATTTTATTTTTGAGGATTCAACATCTCTTCTTAAGTTGGTAACTTCTTTTGTTATCACATCTGTTTTTCCCCTCCACTTTGTCAAAGCTTTTCTTCATATTTTCATTTGTCTCCTTCCTGTGGTCTTTTAGTTCTTGTCTAATGTCTATTTTAAAATTTCTGAATTTTCCAAAATAGTTTGTATTTGATGAGATTGTTTGGTTGATGTCTCCCTGGAGCCTCATCTCTGTGCTTTTGCTCTTTCTGTTTGTAGTCTTGTAATTGTTGCCATATTGTTTTTGTTGTTCTTTGTTACTCTCTCAATTTTTGTTGTTATATAGCTGTTATACACTGTTTGTTTTGTGTATAAGATTTACAATTATTTTATGTAGTTGTATGAATTAAATGGAGTCTAGTAATTAATTGCTAAATTAATCAACCAATCAGATAATCAGACAGTCAATTAATAGTTAATCAAACAATAAATCAAGCAATCAGTTCTTCAGTTAATCCCACAGTCAATTGATCAGTTAATTAGTCTATTTGTATATAAACATTTGATTATTTAAGCAGTTCCAAAACAATCAGATCAGTCAGTTTCTTCTTGATTCAAATTTTCTCATATACATTTCATTAAATTTCTCCAAATATTTATTGGTTTTTACTAAATATATTTTCCAATTTTTTAAATTCAATTGAATTAACTATTTAGGTTTTAAATTAAACAGAGTTTGGTGTTCTACTTAAACTAGAGGATATGCAGATTTAATTATATCCTTAATGTTCAGCCAAAATACATCAGTTAATTACTTAGTTACTTAATTATCCGCTTAATTGCTGTAGCAAGTAAATGTTAAATCAATAATACTCTTGCTTAATCACAGATTACTATATGCCATTAATTAGACTTTAAGACAGTCAAATTTCTTTAATCATGATTTCCATCCAAACAGGTTTTTAAAGTGTTGCTTTTTACTGAATGTTATGTCCTGAGTTCCACAGTGAATTCAGCGCAGTCTTTCTCTCATTGAGATCTATTGTAGTGATGTAATTAGGTATTCTTCTGGGTAGTTAATGTTATCAGTTCAAATTTCTCTTTATAGTAATATTTCCCTCTTTCTTTTTCTTTATCTTCTTTTCTTCCCTTCTTTTCTTTTTTCTTTTGTAATGAAGTTGATGTTTCTATTTGTGGACTATTTGATGTTTAGTATAGCTTTCCTTTCTCTTTCCTTTCTCCTGTTACCCACATCTTTTACACACAGCACTCCCCTCAGATGTTCAAGTTAGTTTCATGAAACTTTCCTCTCTATTGACCACTGTTAACCCCTTATGCTTTATTTATGTGTTGTTTTCAATGTTTGTTCTTTAAAGGGTTAACAGAGAAAGCGGGGGAGGCTTGACAGTCTGCCTTCTAAGGAACTATTGTTGATTTCAATCTGCTGTTAACCTCACAGCGGGGGGGGGGGGGGAATATAAACTTCACTTGTCTCTTTTTTTTAATCTCTCCCTGTAGTCACACCTCTTCACTCTTCCATAATCCACAAAAGCAAAGAAATAAAGGAAATAAATTCTCTGTTTGTTCCCTGTGTTCACTAGTTTGGGTTTCTCTTTTTTCATCGATCTATCGGTCTGTCAGTTTGTCAGCATTACAGTTCCTCAGTATATCAGTTCATCCATAAAACATGTCAGCTCCTCATAAATAGTCTTTAAACAGCCTATAAACAGTCTCTACTTTTCTACTATTATAGATAAGTTGCTCACCTCTATGAAGCTTATTTATGTATGTATTCAATTTTTTAAAAGTCTTTTGTTTCTCTGTTTCAGTTCTTTCTTTGGCAAGCCTCTGCCCAGCTGCTTAGCAATTATAACAAGATACTCTCTTGCACATTTAACTAACTGAAACCTTCCATAGAAGTCCAAGTTGGTATGGTCCACAAAGGTCAAATTAATAGTCCAATTAACACTCTCGCTTGTAACATTTGTTGCATTATTGATTTTCTCTGTTAATTTTGTATTTTTATTTTCACTGTGCCTGGGTTTCATGCCATGGTTTAACCCAGGCATCCTGGAAAAACAGCTGGGCTGCTCTTCGGCTCTCACCCCACCACTTAGTTTTTGGGGTGGGATGTGTCTGAGCCCCCTACAAGCCCCACTTGCCAACCTCTTTCCCAAGGGGATGGTTAGCCAGGTTAGCAGGTCTCTTATTTTCTGGTCCTGGCAAGCTGTTTTCAGAAGACACGTGGAGGAGCTTAGCTCTCGTGTGCCCACACCCCTTGCTGCATGGCCAGAAGTCACCAAATGTTGATTTTGACACAATTTGACTGAGTCCTTAGTAGGACACTGCCATTTCAGAAAGAGGGAGTACAGAGGCGTCAGCTAAATATGTATCTATATTTTTCTTTCAAAAGTTAAACAAAACGATAAGGCACTGCTGACAGGGAAGTAAGCAGCCACACTGGAGTTTGCCTTTTAAAAAAAAATTAAGAGAAGATCTGTTCTTCCCAAGTATACTAAGAGGAATGAGTGCTTGTGTGTGCGCATGTGCACACTTGCATGCATGTATGTTCAAGTCATCTGTCCACTTATGGTGATCCCATGAATTTCATAGAGGTTTTCATAGGCAACAAATATTGAGAGATGGTTTGCCATTACCTTCTTCTGAAAGATAGCCTGTATTACCTAATCACCTAGCTTCTCAATAATAAAACTATTTAAAAGGCACAAAATATTGAGAGATGGAAAGAAAGGCAAAGAGAGAAAGACTGTCCAGTATTTGCAAATGAGTAATGCTGAATCCCATCCTTGTGAGTTTCATTTGAACATCCTGTCTTTTCCTGTCTAGCACCATCCAGATGTGGACAAAACTAGCATCACCCCCAACTTCCCACAAGAGACCAAGAGAGTGTGATCTGTCCAAGGTCACCCAGTGAGTTTCCATGGCTGAACAAGGATTTAAACCTTGGTCACCCAGAGTCCCAGTCCAAATGCTCAAACCACTATACCATGCTGGCTTGCTGCTATCCTAATTAGTCAGTCATAACTTTTAGCTTGTTATGCAGATTTCCCAGCTTGTTGTCCCCAGGCCGTGCCAATGGGAATTGTAGTCAAACAACAGTTGCAGAACCCCAGGTTGGAAAGAGACATAAAGAATAATGAAGGATGGATCACTTGATGGTATGAGTAATTTCCAAAAAATGGCTGGGAAGAGTCCCTATGGCAAATCAGGCCAATGTTTCTTGAGTGACACCTTCCCTTTCAAAGGAAACATTCATTTCAAGAATGAAAGCCCATCATTTTAGGTATTCTTCACATTATGTCTGAAAGGCACTTTGAGGTATTACCATAATAGCATTCCAGAAAATGTTCCAGGCAGTTCGGTTGCAGCATAAGTAGAGTTTTTTCACCAGTACAATTCTGAAATGATGATCCTGCTTACAAATTGCTCTCATGCGTGGGTAAAAAAAAGCAATGTTAAGGCAAGCAGTTGTAGGAAAATGGAACCAGACAGCAGGCAGGCAAAGGTTCTGTGTGTGTCTGCATCTCTGAAAACACAGAGATGGCTAGGTGTGTGACAGAATGTTAAATAAATCCTTTTGCACTAAGTTTGTGGAGTGCATAAAGAATGTGCGCCCTTGGTTTCAGTGGAGTTCTTTCCAATTTCTTATGGGTACCCATATAGTAGGTCTGGATCTACTGGAGAATCTCTGGGTGGTTTTTTTCTTTGAAAAGAGCCAGTAGATGCATAGTAGCTGATCAAGATTTTCTTGACTCTCAATTGTTTAACAAAATGACCCACACTCCAAAACCTAGAGATCCCTTGCGATGAAAAGAGCTTGAGATAACCAGGAATGGGTTTTGTGCAGAAAGGCCATGAGCTCAGTTCAGGTTTAGTGCTGCATACAAATTCTGAGGCTCAGGATGCACTCACAGGCAGCACTTTCTCTCATGTTAAGCCCCTTTTGCCCCAGCTGATTGGTGGAGTTTGGGGTTCTAGCAAGATAACGTAATGTAAATAAATAAGGGGACTGACAAGTTTGAAATCTGCCTGTCTCTAACATACGGTTCCAGAGTTAGGGTACAAGTTAAAAAGTGATATATATATATATATATATATATATATATATATATATATATATGAGCACATTTGCTGCTACTTCTTTCTTTCTTTCTTTTTTTCCTTTGTAAAGAGCAAAGCTTTCCTCACTGATCAAGGGTGGAAGTCAGATGGTCTTCCATAGGTTGCTGAGCTGCAACTCCCATCAACCCCAGTCCAAGATGAAGAATGCTGGGAGTTGCAGTCCAACAACATCTTGAGGTTCATGCAGTTCCCATCCCGCTGTAGTAATGAATGACCCACTGTGTATAGCATGGAACAGGATGGGCAGTATTTTTCACAACCTTGACAGATGCAGCAAACGTCCATTGTCAACAATCATCTTTGCAACCTCAAAGAGGGAAATATGCATTCTAGGATACTTATGATGATTTTCTACTAAATATATCCCTCTACAACCCCCTTTCTTCACTCCCAAGCACAGCCCTAGCCCATGTAGCTCTCTCTGTGAGTAGACTATAACTCCCACCATCCCTATGAAAGCTCATGCTACCAACTTTTCTCTTTCAGTTAGTCTCAAAAGTGCTACAAGATCTCTTTCCATCATCCCTAGACAGTATGGCCTTTGATGGGAAATGAAATCGAAATCTCAGGACTGTCCTCTGGCTCTCTGTGACAAAGAGGGATGATGATGGGAAAGGGGCCCTATTCCTCTGCTTAGCATTTCCCACATCCATCCATCCCTGGCCAAAAATCACACTACAAAGTCTGTTCCAAGGGCCAGTGGTGGTGCAATTGATTTCAAGGGACAAGAACAGAAGGGATTCCAAACGGCCCTTTCATGCCTGATTTGGTTTCAAAGGAAGAGGGAAGAAACGTGGAGTACGAGGGTGGATAGGTGGGGTGTGTGCCATTCCTTTTATTGTAAAGCAATTATCTTCTCTTTTGTTTGTGTGGAGGGGGCCAGGCCTCAGAAACAGTCTCGTCTGGGAAACTGTTAATAGAATTTATGCTAATTTGATGATTCCAGTGATTACCGGAGGGAGTGACTGGCTCGTATTTTGCAAGCCATGTATTTTTTAAAAAATTAAATGACTGCGTCTCTGCAGCCACATTAAGGACCAATTGTCAGTTTCAACCAAGCATCAGCCAAGCTGCTTTGGTATCAGCCTGGGGTGATAGTTGCACGCTTTGTGTCTCTTCACAGATTTGTGGCAATGACATGCAGGTGCTTTTGATCATTATGGAAAACCCATTCAGTCTTCCTGCTATGATCCACTCCTGACCCTTCTCCCTTTTCCTGTGAAATCTCGATATATGCTGAGGCAGAATCAGGGGGGCATGATGCCACTTTGGCTAGGGGCTCCCATATCAGTGGGGGAGTGTAGTGGCTTGTCTAGCATTGGTGTCACCTGGTGCAAGTGCCTGGAAGGGGATTGCATGGGAGGGCAGTAGTGATGGTGGGCTCCCATGCCTGCTCTGTCCTGCCCTCCCATTGTTTCACTTGCCTGTGCCCATCCCTCGCTGCCCACCACCTGCCCAGAGGCTGAAGGTTGCCTGCGGTCAGGCGGTGGCCAGGCAAGTGAGGCAGTGGTACGGATGGAAAGGGAGTGTACTTCTCCTCCTTCTCTGCTGCCTTGGCTCCCTTGTCTGAGCCACAGCAACAGAGAATGCAGGAGGGGGGCCCAACCAGGTGTCACTCCTCTATGAGGTGTCACCTGGTGCTGTCCTCACTCCCCGCACTTCCCTGATGACTCCACTGGGGTAATGCATTACTTCCATCTTTTGCCTAGCTTTAAAGGAGCTCTCCAAGGTCCCAGACCTATTTTGGATCTCGGAAAGCTTCTTTAAAGCCTAAATTAAAACCTGGAATAGAATCATTACCCACCAACATAGGAAAGAACCCCCACTCTGGCTGCTACTGCATGTATTAATCCCTAAACTGTACCTGATTTTATGCTGTTATCAGTCTTTTACCAGGTATCAGTTGCATGATGTGCAGAGTGAAAATATGCTTCATTTGGGATTGGTGTGTATGTTATATTGACAGTGTGTGCACACGCATGTGTGATCCCAGATAGAGGCTTGCGAAGACAACTGTCTCTCATTAATACATCTTACAGGAATCAATGGAATGAAGACCCCTTGCTGTGTTATTGTGTCCCATCACAGTGAATGAAGCAGCTGCATCTTTTGCTACTTCTCAATCAATGATACGTGTATCTCTGTCTGTATATGAACCTGACTTGATTTGCACTCACTCACTCGTTCATTTGCCCATTCATCCTTTCAGACACCAGGGCAGAGTAGAAATAGAGCTAAAATAATGCAAAATACAGTGACCCCCCCAAAAAAAACATATATACCTAAAGTACAGAAGGCAGTAAATAATAAGACAGGCAAAAGCAACCTATTAACACTTGGGTAAACAACTCTAGTACAAAAGCAATGGCACACCTCCAGGAGGATGGCAACCTATGGATGGGGTGTTACAACTGAGAAGGCTTTTCTCCCTGGCTGAGATACTTGGAAAAGACCCTCCTCTGGATAAATGTTCAAGCCAAAATCTAAGTGGGGTTGCCTCTTCAGGGGGAGAAGGCAGAGAAACAGACAAACATCAGTGCCAGCTGGTGCCATCCCATGTCAGTGGGGAACTGAATCACAGATTTAAAAGGAGGTCTCCAAGATGCTAAGCCCACAAACAGGGCCAGCATTTTGGGTAGGCTTCTTTCAAGTTTAGTTGAACACCTGAAGTTAATTCACAGTCCCTTTGGCACAGAAGTCATCAGCCTTCCCTGACATCCAGTCTGAAAATATCTGATGCAAACTATACAGCCCAGAAGGTTAGGAGTACAAGGTGGTTATTAAAGGCTAGTATAGTGGAATGAAGCACATGGGGAAAAGTGATGGTGGAATTATGATGATGCGGATTTTGCCATAGGAATACCAGCTACTCTACAATAATCCAGATCTCCTGCCAACTGAAAGCACAAGTGGGTCATTGCATAGTGGATCCAAGCTCATTCTTCCCAACCCCCTTTTAACATGGTACATCATCTTAACCTCCAAACCACAAGATCTACTTATGGCATTTTGGTATACGTAAACCACTATGGCAGATGACAATCTAATTTTTAAAAAGTAACAAGCAAGACAGAAGTACCTGTGTGCTAATAAATGCCATGCACGTTCTCTAGAACACTGTTCATTTCTACACAGGTATAGGTTTGGAAACAGCCTTCTGTTTATAAGTCAACCTGGGTCTAATCTGTACTGCAAAAATAATAGTTTGACACCATTTTAACTTCAATGGCTCAATATGCTATGGATTTTTGTGATTTGTAGTTTTGTGAGCTATTTAGCCTTCTCTGAGAGCTTTGGGCCACAACAAACTACAAATCCCAGGATTCCATAGTATTAGACCATGACAATTAAAGTGGTGTCAAGCTGCATTATTTTGCAGTGCAGATTAGACCCTGATTTCTACTACTTTGAATCAACACATACAATTTTTCTAACTTAAAGGATGAATTATTATTCCATAGAGTAAAGGTTTTGCCTGATGAAATGAGGGGATAGCAGCAACCCAGGGAGAAGGAGATCTCATCCATTTGTTCTTATTTATAGCAAACTGCCCCAAAATCTGAGTCAAAGGGTACTATATAGCAGTGCTGAGTGTCTGTTGGCCTGCAGATGTGTTTTTTGATTACAGCTCCCATAATCTGTTGCTGCTGGCTATGCTGGTTAGGCCTGATAGGAACTGTAGGAGGACCACAGTTGCCCACACCAGTATATAAAATTGTTTCAAATAAATGCTGTTGTTGGTGAATAAGGAGGCATCCTTGGAATCACTAGATGGCTGCAGTTGTATAACAGTGGACTGGCCGATAGCACTTTCGGATGGTCCCAACATCAGTGCCACACATCTTTGTAGCATGCTATTGGCAAGTCAGCATT